ATACTAAATCAAATAATAAAACTAAAAATAAAATAAAAGAAAAATAAAGAAATAGAAAATTATAGGCGTGACAGTAGCAACAAAAACAGCAGTAACAAAAACAGTAGTAACAACAATAGCAAAAGCAAAAACAGCAGTAACAAAAACAGTAGCAACAAAAATAGCAGCAACAAAAACAGCAGCAACAAAAACAGCAACAGCAAAAATAGCAGAGGCAACAACAGTAGCAACAAAAATAGCACCAGAAAAAACAGCAATAGCAAAAATAGCAACAGCAAAAACAGCAATAGCAAAAACAGCAGAGGCAACAACAGGAAAAAGTGCTGACAAACCAATAGAGATAGTAATACCAGTATCAAGTCCATTAAGAGATAAATCACTCTCAATAGGACCTTGTGAACCATTAACATCAAAAAAGGCAGCCAATAGAACTAAAGAAAAACCAACCAAAAAAATATCCAAAGAAGATAATCTATTAATATTCGAAGTAAAAGAAGTTGAAATAGTAGAGTTTTAGATTCAATTTCTAGTTCAGAAAGAAAAAGAGAAAGATATATTTCATCATAGTATTAAGAATAAAGTTGGGAGCATGGTGTCTCAAGGCATATCTTAAGGGCATACCTGAGAAGGCATACCTAGAGCATACCTTTTAGCTAAAAAGTATGTCTTTACTCTTTTATATAAAAAAATTTTACATATGAAGTTTCGTTAATTTAATTAGTCAATTATCATAGTTAATTCAAAATAATACATATGAACTCTTTCCGACGATCCTTTTTTCCAAAATTTCGAAAAAGCAAAAAACAAAAATTTATTATGGAAAGATGAAGAAGTTTCTTTTACAATACAATGGTTTTTACAGAGGTCAACTGCCTACTCTCAGGGACTCCTCTGTATATTTAACATGCAAGCTAAAAGCGATATTATACAAGATAACTGGCAGGAGAAGAGAGCTCTTATATAAGAAATTTTAGTAAAGATACATAAAGTCACTCTTTGTTAACGAAGTTGGTAAAAGAAGACTTAAGAAGGAGATAATAAATTATTTTGTCTACACACTCCTTTGGACTCTAGAAAACAATAATATATCACAAGCTTTTTCTTTCGATCTTCCATTTTTTTCGATGAAAGTGGGGAATCTAGGTTCCCCCCTACAAAAGATCAGCATTGTTTACTCTTTCTATTTTCAGAATTACTCTGTAGATATGCGACCTCGTGTAGTAAACATAGTCACGTATGTTATTTATTAACAAAGTCACGTACTTTGTATAATAACAACTTTACATGCTTTGTTTATTGTTTAGTCTGGAACATGACCTCAGTGCTACAGATTCTAAATTCTAAAGATGGATTGTATGCTAGATAGAGAATTATTTGAGATAGGTTACAAGTTGCACAACTTAAAATTTTTAAGCCTGACTCAGGTTACAGGGTATCTAGTTACCTTTTTTTAGTTTTTTTTTATTTCGTCCCTTTTTTACATTACTGCCTAACAAAGTTTTTACAACTTGGGGCAAGTTTTTCTTTGTTAGTAAGCTTAGGCTTTTAGATTAGTAACAATTTTTATTTTTTTCTATCTTGAGACTAGGTGTTAACTACTTATAGCTTAGTATTAACTAGATTAGAAGGGACCTAGGATCTTGATAGGGTCTGAAGTCACCTTTGTTGATTCAAGGATAATATCTTCTTTGAGAAGAGTTACTGCAGGGAGAAAAATAACTTCTGTAGCAGATCGCACCTGAGCACCAATTGGCAGCCGAGTGAGTCCGAAATTGCAATAAGGAGGGATATAATTATAGATTAGTTTCAGGACTTATATAATTTGTATTCTATTTGTATCTTATGATATATTTTTTATATGTATCGAATGATATTTCCTTTAATAAATGAAGGGCAAGATCACTCAAGTTGGAAAAAAAAAAAAAAAATTAACATAGTTAATTTGATATAAGTAATTATAATATATAGAGAGAGATACTCAGAGCATAGAGAGGCATATCCTTAACAAAGGCATGCTTAAAAAATTTTTCATACTTCCAACTCTAACTGAGAGTAATAGTTATCCTTAAGTTCAGTTCTTTGATAAAGATATATACATTCTTTACAGAGAGCAACTTGTTTACAAAAGTTTCTATAAAAGTTTTTCATAGTAATTTGCTGAGTAAAGTCTGGATAGCTTGTATTAAAGGATTCTGCAAGAATTCTTTGAAATTCTTGTTCTTCTGTTTTTGTAAGTTATACATGAGAAGTATATACTAATTAGTTAATTTCTTTATTACTATATTTTCAATTATACCTATTAGTAATTTGAGGTTCTAAGGTATCTACTAATTCTTGAGTACTTTGTCCTAATTGAATTTTAGCAAGATGAAAGATTCTATCTTGATTAAGATTATAAGAGTATTCTGCATTTTTAGTTAATTCAGTATAGTATCAAACTCTAATCTATAGGTTATAGTTAAGGTTCTATTCAATATCTTAAGTAGCTTTATATGTATAAAGATGTTATAGACTACAAAACCAAGAATCTTCTCAGATTGTATCTAGTTTATATATTCTGGTTCTGATATATTCATCTTGCAGAGAATATATTTAGTAAAAAGTCCTTATTTATCACTATTAGTGAGGTATTCTATACTATAAGGATCATCATGAGGTAGTTGTTAGTGGAAGTCAGTTTAACAAATTTTACAAACCAATAAATTATCAAGAAGATGAATATCTTCTAGTTTCTGTAGGGTTTTGTATTAGTAACAGTAATTAATCTTTTTGTTACTATAGTATATTATGTATTAGTTTTCTACTTCTGCTAGAAGTATCTATATCTATATCTTTAATTATTCATCTTTAAAGAAGCAAAAGGATAGCAAGTACTAATAAGTTCAAATTTATTATATTTGTAATATTTGTTGTAGAGGCAATTTATATTACTAGTCAAAATTAAAAATATTATTCAAATATCTATATATAATCAGAAAGAGTAATAGCAGGCTAATATGATAAAGACTATAATCAGATTTTTTTTAATGATAATAATAGATCGATAGGCTAAAGATTTTGGTGAAATATGTCAAATATCAGATTATAGCCAGATTAAAACATTTAAATATCTTGTATAAGATTCTTATAAGATTTTGTAGTAATATGCTATTAGTATATTTAAAGATATACTAAGATTAGATAAATTATAAGCCGATATATTACTGGCTAGTTTATTTAAAAATTTGCTAATTAAACTGATATTTTAGCAAAATTTGTATGATAAATCAATCATCTTATTTTATTCACAAACTATAAAGCAGATATTTTATTAATTTTTGATGATTTTTTACTGATTATTTACTGAAACATAATATATTCTATAATAATAATATTATTATAATATTATAAATATCAGTTAGCCAATTTTATTTATCTTCAAAATATTTTTAGAATGATATTCATTTATTCTTTCATGATACAAATATCATTAAATTATCAGATCATTAATTATATTTTATTTGATATTTATATTCACTAAATTATCACCCTAATGATTACTTTATTTTTTTTTTTACTTATAGTGATATATAGCTGATATTATTTATTCTCTAGTTATTACTTAAAATACATAAAGTAAAATAAAAATTATATATTTATAAACTATTGCTTCTTTTTCGTCTTCCTCTTTGACTTTTTATCACTATCATCTCTCTTTTTTCTCTTCTTTTTTCCTTTATCTTCACCTTCTTCTTCACTTTCTTCTCTACCTTTTTTTCTACCTTCTTTTCTACCTTCTTCTTCACCTTCTTCTCCGCCTTCTTCTCTATTTTTTTTATCTTCAACTTCTTCACTTTTAACTTCTTCTGCTTCGAATATTAATGGATCATCTTCTTCAGATATTTTTTTGGTTAGTTTTTTTTTAGTTCTATTGGCTGCCTTTTTTGATGTTAATAGTTCACTAGGTCCTTTTGAGAGTGATTTACTCCTTAATGGACTTGATGCTAGTGTTACTATTTCCATTGGTTCGTTAGCACTTTTTCCTGTTGTTGCTTCTGCTGTTTTTGCTGTTGCTGTTTTTGCTGTTGCTGTTTTTGCTGTTACTGTTTTTGTTGCTGCTGTTGTTGCTTCTGCTGTTTTTGCTATTGCTGTTTTTGTTGCTGCTGTTTTTGTTGCTGCTGTTTTTGTTGCTGCTGTTTTTGTTACTACTGTTTTTGCTATTGCTGTTGTTGCTGCTGCTGTTTTTGTTGCTGCTATTTTTGTTGCTGCTTCAGCTATTAATAGTTCACTTAAGGTTGCCTCATATTCAAAGAGCAAATCATCTGAAGAGGTTTCTTCTTCACTTTCTTTAGCCTCTTATATTTTTTTCTTTTGTCTCTCTTATATTTTTTTTTTTTATCATTTCCACAGTATTACTCTATCGTTATCACTATCATCGTCATCTGCATGAATACTTTTTTTTTTTGTTTTTGCACTACCTTGTCCTTTCCCAATATCTTCTGCTCTAGCTTTTTCTTGTCTAATATCTCCCACTCCACCTTTTTCCTTCCCAATATCTTCTGCTCCACCTATATCTTTTTCTTTTTTTTTTCTTACTACCTTCTCCTTTCATTTTTTTGCCTTTTTCACTCATCTTTTTTTTCTTTTTTCTTGTGTCTTCGTCACTGGTTAAATAATCAGCATCAAAATCTTTTGCAGTTAAATTATATTTTTTTAGGGCTTCATCGGATAATACCCAATTCAGTCAATTATCTGGAGGTTTACCAGTATCATTGACATCATTCTCGTAGCAGCTTTCAATCATTTGCTTATTTTTAGGCTAAAATAGTTTCATATAAGAATCAATCCTTTTGTGAAACAGCTGTTTAATCTAATAATATTAGGCCAATATTAGGCTGATATTAGTAAAATAATTATATATTTTAAATTTTAATAATGATTATTCTCATAGACATAATATCACAATATAAGCTGAGATTATAGATAATTCCAGCTTATTTTGTGATATCATGTCTATAAGAATAATATACTGATATCTACATTCAGACTACACCACTACTTATCTATACATATTAATTTTTTATTAATATTATCATAGGTCACCTACTCCTCAGCAGAGTAATAGACGTTTCTACCTTTACTTCGTGTTAATATCTCTAAATTATCTTAGGAATATCTTTTAATTCTTTCGTTACTGGCTTTTATTAAATATGTCAATGCCTTACATCTTCTCTTCTTTTTCTATTTTTTTTATATACAATAATGAATTATATTTTACATATTAGCAGATTTTTGTAATTTAATAATTATCAAATTACAAAAATCTACTGATATTCTTATATTTATATTATTCTTATCTCATTTACCTTGCTATTTCTTGCCATTCATTTTCGATTGTATTCTTGCAGATCACAATTAGTATTTAATTGAGTGATACATCTTTGTATCTTATAATGCTGTTTCAATATTTTTTTGATGTTTACAGCATGATTTTTAAAGCTAGGCAATTTTTCTATTAATGCCAGAATTAGGTTTTTTCTTATATCTTTTTGTTAAGATACCTATGTTTTTTGAGAGTCTGGTTTAAGATTAGACAAGCTACCACCCTCAGTTAATATCTTTATTTCATCCTATGAAGAAAAAAAAAATAATCTGAAATAAAAAACAGAAAAACAAAAACAGAAAACAGATCATACTTTACTTATCTGAAGATGAGCTGATTGCTCCTTATCTAGTAATTTCAGAAGGTGATCACTTTCTGAGCTCTCACTTTCACTTTCTGAGCTCTCACTTTCACTTTCACTTTCACTGCTACTATTACTGCTCTTATCATCATCTTTATTTTTTCGTTTACTTTTTTTTACTACCTCCTTTTTTTTTACTTTACTGTAAAGAGCTTTTATAGCACCTTCAATTGTAGCTGCAACAGCCTTGCTATTCACTAAAAATTATATTATGTTAATTAATAAATTAAAATATTGACTTATTATAAATCTTATATTTTTTATTACTATATATATGTGATCAGGCTCTTTTTTTAGCTATTTTGTTGCTTTCGGTTTTAGGTAAGTGTTTTTCTTTGCTTATTTTAAAAAAGTTTATATTAATATTAGATAATTAAGTAAATGTTATAAGTGATTGAAAATTGACTTGAAAAAATTCGTAGAGAAGATACTATCCTTATATAAGTTTTTTATTCCATATGTTAATTATCTTCTTATTTTGCTATATTTCTTAAAAAATTCTTTGGTACTCGAAAAAATTATAAATATTATATTAATATCACTTTAAAATTATTAAATATTTTACTTTTCTCTAGACTGATATTATAT